CCCGATCCCTCCTCTCCTTTCTCTCCATCTACCCTAATGTGAGGGAAAGGCCTCCCTCTCTCTCTCTCTCTTTCCCCCCCTCCACTGCCATACCGAGACAAACTGCGACCAAGACCAAGACCACCACAGACTAAGAAGAAGAGAAAAAGCATGGATGCTACCACTGCTGCCAGACGTCCAAGACTTCGTACAAAGACCGGATGCCTTACATGTGAATAAGTCCTGCCAATCAAGAGGGAGGGAGGGAGGAGAGGAGAGAGGGAGGAAAAAAAAGAGATCATGACTGCTGACGCACAACAGGTCGACAACGCCGCAAGAAATGCGATGAGAAATTCCCCGTCTGCACCGGATGCTCAGCTACCCGTCAGACATGTCAGTGGCCGTCCGGTGAAGACTTGGTAGATCGGAGGTTTAGCGCCCACAGAAAGTCCAGACACGGCGACGCTCTCACCACCGCCGCAGCAACGCCGTCAGGATCGGCAAGCTCGACTTCATCCCCATCCTATCCCCCCCTCCCTTCCTCCCTTCCCTCTCCCTCTCCGTCTTTTCCTTCTCCTCCCCCCTCCTCATCAGCACTGCAGCCACAGCAACGGCTACGTCGACAGCAGCAGCAGCAGCAGCAGCGGCATCAGACACCCCGGTCAGACTGTCAGATGCTGCAGCCGCTACCGCGATCGTCACAAGCACGATCCGTCAAGGCCACCGCCGCCGCAGCCGTCCCGTCGCGATCACAATGTTACTACGCAGAGGCAGGCCTGAGCCACTCATCGCTCCGCCGCGGCCTCGAACCTGTCGTGTCGATACACTTCTCTCGGTCCTTTTACAACCTCATCCTCCTGCCCGGATCGCACCCGAGCTTTCGCGACAACTGGCTGTCCGACATCCTCTCGTCCATGACCCGTAGCCGGAGCCTGTACTTCTCCGTCCTGGCATGCGCCGCATCCCACCTGCACTTTACCGACGCGAAGCCGCAGATGCAGGAGTTGGCTATACGCTACTACTCCGATGCTGTGCGGTCGCTGTCCCGCCAGCTGGCCAGTGGGCCGTCGACGTCGCTCGTGCCCGATGGTCAGGATGATGTCGATGTCTTGATGCCGGTCATGTTCTTATATCTTCACGGCGTATGTGTCCTGGTCCCTCACCTCGTTGGATCTTTCTCTCTCTCTCTCCTTCTCTCTTTTTTTTAAAAAAGAGAAAAAAAATCTTAAAATATTCTAGTCGTAATCTCAATCGGCTTCTTCCGAGGTCCTCGTTTCCTTCGCTCTGCTGACACGACGAAACAACAGTTCCTCGGTCTGGGTACATACAGAGACATCCCCCGTCACGTCGACGCCGCCATGCGCATCCTGTCGGCACGCTTCCTCGACACGGGCGCCACCCTCGAGCGCACCGTCGACAAGCTCGCTGTCGAGAGCGTCCTGTATCAGGTCTTCATCGTCGCCACCGGCATCTGGTCCGAGAGGGCCCCGCGTCTGGATCAGAACAGCAACGGCTACGTCGACTTCTGGATCCGTGCCGAGCGTCTCCTGCAGGCCTCGAGCTTCTTCCCCGACGAGTCCATCCTCGACAGCCCCGTCCTCGGCGTGCCCGTGCAGCTCCTCCGGCTCGTCATGTCCATCTGCCGGGGCATCCACCGCCCGGACACCATCGACGCCGCCGCCATGCGCGACCTGCGCGCCCAAGTCGACTGGTGGTGCGACGCCATGGGTCTAGGCACCACCACCACCACCGCCGCCGCCGCCGCCGCCGCCGCCGCCGCCACACCCGCCACCGCCAGCGGCCCGGATACGTCGGCCACCTCGTCCGTCTCGCCCTCCCCCGCATCTCCGTCGCCGTCGTGCTCGTCGTCGTCGTCGTCGTCTTCGTCGTCGGGCTGCTCATCGTGCTCCTCCTCCTCGACGACGTCTGATCCCGCCCTCATCAACCGGGACTCGTCTCACCTGTACGCCCTGGTGTCGTCGCTGCTGCTCGACCGCCTGGAGTCGGGGGACACCAAGCTCTGCCGGCCCGTCGACCCGAACGGCAAGGACCTGCCCCAGGCCGCGCGCGCCATGCGCATCGTCCACGCACACTCCGCCGACGAAGCCTGGACGAGCTCCTACCTTGGCGGCTGGCCGCTCTACACTCTCGGCTTCCTCGTCGACGACCCCCGCTCCGTCGAGGCCATCGTCGAAGATATGCGCAACCGATGGACCCGCACCAGATTCTTCATCATCGCCAGGTACATTCACGACATGGAGGTTGCCAGAGGTCTCGGGCACACTGGCGCCATCCCTCCTGAAGCGCATAGGTGGCTGGCCTTGTAATGCTCTCTCTATATTTTTTTTCCTGCTCACTTTCTCTCCCCCTTCTTCCTCTCCTTCTGCCTGCATACTCTTTTCTTCTTTCTCTCTTCTCTTTTCTCTCTAGACAATGACTCGCCTTTGATTTTACTTCTTTTTCGTGTACTATTAATTTGACGACTGTACATTACTTCTTGACCGGGCAGGTAGCAGAAATAGACAGGAGGGGGGGGGGGGGGGGGGGTAAGATGTTGATACTAGCGGTGTGGTTTGCATTCATAAATCTAGCTGGCCTTTTTTCTCCCCCATCATCTTGCCATCTTCTTGAATGAGGTGGAGAGAAGTCTAGATCTTTGGCTTGACCCCCTGACCTTTGTGAGGCCTCAGAATACTCTGCTGCGTCATGGAAGCTAGTAGCTGGCCCTTCTCGTCCCTTAGCCTGCCCTCGGTATACGACCTCCCCCAGCCGCCACGGATGGTCTGCCTCTCCTGCAGCGTCCACTGCTCCAGGTCGATGCGGGGCACGAAGATGCGGAAGGCGAAGTCGAGGGTGGAGCAGGCGGCGACGTCGTCGAACCACTTGTGGTCGTGGGTCAGCGGCGTGAAGGACAGGGCAGAGTCCATCAGGAAGATTGCGGCGGCGAAGTTGGCGGCGGGCCCGTCCAGGCTGACGGGGCACCTCTGCCAGTCCGCCGACGCCTTGGACGTGATGGGGAGGTGGTCCTGCGTGGTGGGCAGCTGCTTCGCCACGCCGATGAGGTTCTGGGCGGCCACGCCGTTGGGGCAGGGTCTGCGGACCACGGTCTGGCCGCCGCTGCCGCCGCCGCCGACGGCCAGGACGGCGTCGATGAGGTCGTCGGACGCGGCGCCCCGGGCCCGGACGGACTCGAGGAGCTCCTGCGTCGTCGGGCAGTCGTGGCGCCCCGGCCAAGCGGCGAACGGGGCCGCCTGGTAGTCCGAGATGGACGCCTCGGCCACGTGGAAGTCGGCCGTCAGCTCCAGGCAGCTGCGCGACGTCCCGTCCCCGCGCAGCTGGCTGACCTCGACGCGGCGCGTGGCGAAGGTCCGGGTCGTGCGCCGGTCGTGCACCCTGCACCGGAACTTCTGGTCCGTCGACGCCGGGCCCAGGAAGTGGCCCAGCACGCTGTAGGGGGTGAAGCCGGACGGCACCGTGTCGCAGGCCGACCGGAGGGCCACCCCCATCGCGCAGCCTCCGTAGGCGATGGGCATGGCGTTGCCCACCCAGATCGGGTACGACTTGGATACGTACTCATCCTTGCCGACTCTCTCGACGGCCGTGAGCTCGGCTAGGGACATGGTGGGCGATGGGTATGTGAAGATGGATACGTCTGCGTCTGCCTGTGATCATTCGAGATGAATTGTCCTAGTTTTGAGGTTGCATCTAAATCGTACTGCCATTACGAGTACCTACAGTACATGTTCGGTGTGTTGCTTCATATAGGATTTCTTAGACCTCGGCACGTTTTAATATATTATTACTTGGTAGCCCCGTTCATATTAGTTTGTAATATTTATGAGGGGCGGCGCCGATAGAACGTGACATAATACTTCGGGGGGGAGGGGAAGCCAGATAGCTGGGATCTTTCTCTCGGACTTTTGCATACCACGCCACCCGGAGCCGACAAATGTTGAATGTGTATCGTAGGGGGTTGATTTTTCTCGTCATTCCCATTAGTTCATGCCCCATTTGTCAGAGCGGGTGGGTGGCATCTTACAAGTTACAGATACGCGGGGGTGGATGGGGGAGTATAATAATAATAATAACACTTCATACGACGACGTCACGTTTTTTTCTTTCCCTTATTAACCCCTCCCCCCCCCATGTCATGTACATGTACGTACGAATAGCTCCAAAGGTACGAGTATCAGTCCATCCATCCACTTGGATGTGAAGCCACATGCTCTGCCGGATACGTCGGACGGGGTTCGTATAGAATGACCATATTTCAACGATGATTTCCATATCTTTCTCTTCTTCAACTCTCTTCTACCTCCCCCCTTTCATCATCATCCTCCCTACTACTATTAGTATTACTCTACACGACTGAGACCCGCCTCTCATGTTGAGACAGGCGTGACAGAAGCGTCGGACCTTCCGGAGTTTTCAGCCGCCCGACGGTAATTAATCGAGCAAGAACTGACTGGCACTCGCTCTTTCCTTTCGTCCCGCTTGTCTCTATTACGTCTTAGTTTTTTTTTTCTCTCTCTCTCTGTCAGCAACTCAATAAAGATTTATTACTCCCCCCCTCCCCCCCCCCTCCTCTCACTCTCTCCTCTCCGTATTGTCTGGTTAAGAAGCAGTGCTTATTACTGTTGGGAAGTGAAAACAAGGAAGAGATCCTTCAAGTTTAGATTCCTCACTTGTTTACCAGCCAATCTCTCCCCCCTTCCCCACATCTTTGATTCTCGTTGTCGCCGACAATCAGCGAGACCAACAGCCCTCCGCCAGTCAGATAATCCCTCCACACCTAGGTGCCGACAACGCTCGACCCTCCTCGCCCCAACAATTCGCGCCCGCCCTCTTTTTCCCATCCCCAGAGAATCATCGTACAGTCATAATGAGCACCGAAGCTACCCGCGTGACGTCGGCCACCTCCTATTCCGTCGGCGCCGATCTCAGCTACCCCCATGGCCACCTCGGCCATCTGACGGAGCACCAGCAAAAGGCTCTGGGCGAATTCAAGTCGGTTCTCAAGGAGAGGGGTTACTACAAGGCTGGACCTCCTCCGTCTCACGACGAGACTGTCCTCATGTACGTTTTGTTGCCGTCTTCCGCCCCGGACTGCCGTGCACCGGACCTGTTGCTGATTACCCCACCCCGCGTAATAGCCGATTTCTGCGTGCTCGACGATGGATCGTCGAGGATGCCTATGTCCAGTTCAAGGAGACCGAGGACTGGCGCGCCGCCAATGATATCGACGTCCTCTACCGCACCATCGACTTGGACGCCTATGAGCAGAGCCGTCGCCTGGTATGCACCCCGCAATGGCTCTCGAGAACAGGAGAAGGGGGGAACCCAGAGGTTGCTGACACCCATGTCCCTGCAGTACCCTCAGTGGACTGGTCGCCGCGACCGCCGCGGTATCCCGCTGTACGTCTTCGAGGTCCGCCCTCTCGACTCCAAGACCATCTCCGACTACGAGCGCCAGGGCTCCGGCAAGACGTTTTCCGAGGCCAAGGTGGACGGCAAGACGCCGTCGGGGCTCCTCCGACTGTTCGCCCTGTATGAGAACCTGACGGGCTTCGCTATGCCCTTCTGCTCGCAGCTCCAGGACCGCGAGTCTCCCGACGTGCCCATCACCATGAGCACCAACATTGTCGACATCTCGGGCGTCGGCCTCAAGCAGTTCTGGAACCTCAAGTCGCACATGCAGTCGGCCTCGCAGCTGGCCACGGCCCACTACCCCGAGACGCTCGACCGCATCTTCATCATCGGCGCCCCCGTATTCTTCAGCACCGTTTGGGGCTGGATCAAGCGCTGGTTCGACCCCATCACCGTCTCCAAGATTTTTGTCCTCAGCTCCTCCGAGGTCAAGCCCACGCTCGAGAGCTTCATCGAGCCCCGAAACATTCCCAAGAAGTACGGCGGCGAGCTCGACTTCTCCTGGGGTGAGCTTCCCAAGACGGACCCCAAGTGGGACGGCGTCGTCTTGTGGGAGAACGGCCACAAGTCGTTCCCTACCGGTCCGCTCCTGTGGTCGGACAGCGAAGATGGCAAGAGGCTGGTTTGCAGGGGCCACGGCTCCAAGGGTGGCAGCAAGAGGGAAGAAGTCATCTGCTCCGTTCCCAAGATCTGGCCGGCCGAGACTGAGGCCAAGGTTGATGCCGTGACGAATGGCAAGACCGTGGGGAAGCTCACCGTTGACGAGAAGGCGGCCGGTGTGGTCGCCGCAGCCGACGCACCCGCCACGGAGGGCACGACAGCGTGAAGAAGCAAGAGTAGTAACAAAACGAAACATGGGCCTGCTACAGGACCGTGTTGAAGAAGAGAGCGTGGAAGCACACATACATACACACACAAACGATACCCCGGGGGTATGGTCCTTGCTACAAGGCATAGGCGAGGGCAGCCCTCCGACCGTTGGTCTTGAAAGCCAATGAAAAACACTCACACATCGGAAGAAAGCATTGAGATTTCTACTAGTGGTTTTGGATAATGCCACTGGGTGGTTTTGGTTTGAATGTGAAAGGACATGTTGGTATATATATACCTACATCTATAGACGTCTGACTCAAGGCTAGTGTCACCCGCGACGGTGTCACGTTGTCTCTGGATCTATCCAATAATATATATTCGCCTTGCCTGTGCTGTGTGTGTCAATCAAATCAGAATTGTGCAGATGTTGCTCCTATATATGTCTGTAAGAGAAGAGAGAGAGAGAGAGAGAGAGAGGGTGGGAACGAGTTAAGCAGCCTTGTACCCCCTCCTCTTTCGCCATTCGGCGACTCCCTTCTCGATCTCGGTCCAGGTCACACCGTCGCGGACGAGCCACATGGTGACGCCCAGCGACTCCGTATCCCGGTTGCGCGCCTCATCGTCGAAGAAGAGCATGTCTTCGTAGGGGATCCCGGTGCGCTTGTGAAGGGCCTCGAAGTGGCGAATCTTGCTGCTGGGGTAGATTTCCAGGCCTCCCTCGAAGGCATCAATTGCTCTCCTCGGCTTCTCGTCTTTGGAGCTGCTGCCTCCTGCGCCACTACCACCGGTGGCGGACCCTCCGGTCTTGGTGTGCGCCAGAGCCGCAAGGGGTTGCAGGTGCAGCATCTTGAGCAGTTCGCGGGCCAGGCTGGGAGCGCAGGTCCTCGATGCGACGGCGAGCTTCACTCTAGGAGAGGAGGAGATGTCATTGCTGCTGCTGCCGTTGTTGCTGTTTTTGATGGTGGTATCGGCGGATGAGGGGGACGAGGAGGGGAGAGAAGAAGAAGAGAGTTGAGGCAGGGCCTGAAGAATGCTGGGTACGTCACTGTAAAAGGTGTAGTCTTCCCCGTAGCGGTCGGCGGCGGCGGAGTGAGTCGAGTTGGGCTTCAGAGGAGGGGTGACGTGAGTGTCCACCCAGAAGGGCCAGAGTGTGTAGTCGAGGTCGAAGACTATCAGGCGAGGGAGGGGTAAGGAGTCGGATGAGGGCGCCAGGGAGGGGGGGAGGATGTGGGATAGGATGGCGCTCGGAGCGACGGATAGTTGGCGGGATGATGAGGATTTTTTGAGCATCTTCCTTTTATTAATATATATATATATGTGTGTGTGTGTGTGTATATTTCTCCCTCACCCTTTCTTTGTCCTCTATCTCTTCAAAAAAAAAAATTCAGGAGGGATGAAGTTGATGATGGTGATGAGGGTTGTTTGGAAGTGTGGCGATGATGATGCTAGTGATGATGAATTGATGGCGGGGTTAAGAGAGGTTTAATGGAGTAGCGGGGTTCCATAGGGTCAGATACTGACTGCATACTAATACTGCACACTAGTAGTACGCATACACATGCACATGCACGAGGGGACCATGTATTCAAATAAGTAGCTACATGGTGTAGTAAAGGGGGTATCGGACATCATATACATGTCGTAAAAGTAGAAGAGAAGAAGAAGAAGGAGAGGGTTGATGTTGGCGATTGACAGCAGTAATAATACTCGTGTGTCCCCATGACGTACGATGTTCATCTGCCAGCAGAGACAGTGCCAGGACTCTCAGTACTGTTTAATAAGCAGAGCAAACACAAGCAAGAAGCTGGCCACTAGCAACAGGATGAGTTCAGCTGGAGATAAACAGTGGGTCCCCGGATGGTGACGCACTGAACACAGCTAGAGTGGACCAGTTACTGCCTGTAGGAGCACTGCCTTCCACAGCACGGGCTTATCCCATCAGTACCGGTCGATATCAATACCTACAGGCTACAGTGGTGCAGGTATTGCCTAGACATGGAACTTGGAAGAGAGCCATTACCACTATAATCACTGCACTTCACAGGCGCGTGCAGCCTGGAAAGGACCCGCGCTAATAGAGCATCTCCGCTCCGCCTTTCCTACACCTTCGTTCATATTTCTCCTCTCCAACCTCTTCCTTCCTCCCTTCCCTTCCTCCCTCCCTGCCGCTCCGCCGCACCAACGCACACACGACGACCCTTTGATCTATCCCATCCCGCCTCTCATCCGTCGCCGTCGAGGCCAGCATATACGACACGTATCTGAACCATCGCGTCGATTTTTTTTTCTTCCCCTTTCCCTGCTTGAGACCTTCTTTCTGGTATCCTGCCACCTTCCAAAAACATGGCTCCTGCGCCTAACCCCAGTCTGCCGCTGCAGGAGCGGCTGCTCACTCTGGCCAAGACCCTACAGTGTACGTGGTCTTTATCTTCTGCTGCCCACATCCTTTCTCTTCCTCGACTACGCATGCTCGCAACCGCACCCGCCCAGGAGGGAAAATGATACGGGGGGCGGGGGGAGCTGCGCACAGCTGGTCATTGGGCATTGTACTGACTTTTTGTGCTCTGTTACAGTTGCTTGGTTTGCTGGGTATGTGTTTCTTCCTCATGCGGCAAGACCTTGTCGCTGCCTATTCGTCGACCGAGATAGCAACGAGCACGCACGCACTCGAGAGAAGGAGATGCAGAGAGACGGAGATGCAGAGAGAAGGGGACGGAGAGAGTCTGACTTTACTAACCCTGTCTGGATAATAGCCACCTCACCCTCATCCTCACCACGATTCGCTACTCCTTCTCGTGGATCCGCATGAACTACTACGGTGGCATGGCCCAGTTCTGCTACCGCACATCCTTCATCGCCGCCACCTTCACCTATGGCATCGTCGTCTACAAGACGCAGCGCGCCCGTGCCAAGTCGGGCTCCAGGGCTGCTCCCAGTGCTCTCGGCCTCCTCGCAGACGAGAATGTCCAGTACCTCCGTACGTAGCTCAGTCTCCCCATCTCTTCCGTGGATGAGAGGATAGGGAGCAAAGCTAACCCTCTGTCTAGTCCTCTCCCTCGTCTGGCTCTTCTCCCCCCAGTACCCCCTCGCCCTCCTCCCGTACAGCGTCTACTCCATCTTCCATGTGGCCACCTACACGCGCACCAACCTGATCCCCGCCGTCTACCCTCCGACGCCGGCCGCTGACGGCTCCTCGCCCAAGGGTAGGGCGACGCACCCTCTCGCCGACAGGATTGGCGCCTTCGTCAAGGAGTACTACGACGCCAGCATGTCCATCGTGTCTGCCCTCGAGATCCTCCTGTGGGGCCGCATCCTGCTCTCGGCCCTCCTATTCCAGCGCCGGTCGTGGATCCTCATGGTCCTCTACACCATCTTCCTGCGCGCCCGCCACTCGCAGAGCTCCCACGTCCAGGGTTCCGTCTCGCAACTCAGCGCCCGCGTCGACGCCCTCGTTGGAGCTCAGGGCACCCCGCCCGCGGCCCGCCAGGTTTGGGACGGCGTCAAGAGCGGCGCCAGGCAGTTCCATGACATCACCGACATCACCAAGTACACGGGCGGCGGTGCAGCCAAGAAGAGCTCTTAAGAACAGCAAGAGTCACTACTCTCTACAAGTGAAACTCTTCTTTCTTCTTGGGTTGGCACACAATCTGCGGGGCGAATATTTCACGAGAAAAACGACGACTTCTTCACGACGACGACGGTGTTATGTGCGTGAGTGTGTGTGTGTGTGTGTGTGTGTGCCATCTGTATATGTTGATCACACCTAACGAGTACGACGCCCAAGTTAAGTGGTAATGCGTTTTAGTGAGAATGTATCTCCCAAGAAAAACCGGGCGGGACACGTTTTCTTTAGACGTCGGATATATCGGCGTAACTATTATATTACTCTAAAAGAGAGATAGTGAAGGGATACCAAAGTTGACATGAGAAAGATGGGGGGAGAAGAAAGAAGACAATTGCGATTGGGTTCTGTTTTTATATATATATATATTTAGGTATGTGTCCTGGTGTTACAAGGTTCAAGGGGCTATGGGGAGAGAAATTGATTTTTCATTTACTCTTGTGTGTCTTGTCTGGTTGTAAACACTTGCGTCTCTGTCCTGTATTCCTCCTGCATGTATGCTGTCTGAAAATGGCAAGGTAGCATAGCACTTGTGACGTTAATACAGCCAGTACCTACAGATTAGAGAGCCCCGGGATATCCAGTAGTCTAATAGTCTAACATGGACACAATATTGATAGCAGCATGCAGTGATGCATGGCAGCATGGAGTCCCCCCCCCCCCCCTTTTCATGGGATGAAGCTAGCGGGGAGCCCCGCGATGACGTTTGACGGGCGCGTCGTGCGACGTCACGAGATACGTCACAAGGCGCCATTACTCGATGAAGGTGGTAGTTTAGAAAAAAAAGGAATACGTTATTGTATTCATTCCATTCACTTCCTACGCGACATCTACAGACGATCCGAAGTCGAGAGCTTCTAGAGGGAGTAAAGAAGGGCTGGTCCTTGATCGTAAGTGAGGAGGATGGAGAGGTTGGGAACCAAAAGTCCGCGACGGTGATTGGAGAGACCCCATCGAGGAGGTCTGTCCCTAGCTCTCCACGGATGAAGCTGTCTGCGGTATGGTGATGCCTCGTTGGTGGACATGTTCCTGGTCTTTTCGGTGCTCAGACGTCACGACGCCTGCGGAGAACCCGCTTGAAGAAGCGCTTGGGTTCGAAGATCGATCTGTAAACCAGTGACGACTTATCTATATCGATGGTCTCTGCGTCGTCTGTCGTCCCACGGACGGTTTTTTCTTTTCGTTCCCTCGATGTTCCCTATCGCCTGGAAACAGGCATCTTGTCCCTATGGGACTCACCGTCACCGGTCGTTGGCCTTATCAACCGATAGTCAGTGTAAGCGGTGGCGTATGAAAGCCAGGGAAAGATCTGCACATGTATGCATGATAGTGCTCCGCCAGCACGGGGCCTCCGATTCCGTAGTGGACTTTGACTAACGAGATATCCCAACAAGGCTTTGGCTAACCTCCTCGAATTTCCGGGTTTGGTAGAAGGGCCTAGAGAGCAGAATCATTCACGAGCATATCGCACTTTACTTGATGAGATATAATAATAGGGGGGGTTACCAGTAAAAGGCTGGTCCATCTCGTGGCGGTAATGAATATTCATCAGTCTAACCATCCACGCTGCGGTATAGTCGAGGTTAAGAGAGAAAGTGTGATGTGGATAGTAACGATATGAGCGATGGGGTCGATGGAGATGTGATTCGGCTACTACGTGAACTGGCAGAGAGCAGAGAGCAGGGGCAGATCGTAGAGTAGTTTTCATCATTAGCGATACGCTAGATTGAAGCTGGTTGCGGTGACGGCGTTTGGTATTATAGTCTATAATACTACAGGGTAATCAAAAAAACAGTGACGCCATTCGATCCCTTCCCATCTCCCACCGAGGCCGAGGGAAGGGGAGGGGGATTTTCCTCTTTCCCTTTTTTCTTCTTCTGACCATACGCCAGAAACAAGAAACATAGAACGAAAGATACACACCAACATATAGACTGGAGAGGCAGACGTTCATAAGTAAGGGAAAAGGGGGGAAAGAAAGGACTAAACCTACCTGCAAAGTCATGGCGTCTCTGTTGCGCCAGATTGTCGCCGGTCCAAGGACTCGCCACCCTCAGGCTGATTTGGATTTATGCTATGTCACGGATAATATTATTGTTACGTCAGTTCTCTCTCTCTCTCTCTCTCCATATCCTTTTTTTTTGTATTCGTCTTCATGTTTCATTCTTCTTCATCCCTTGTCTGAGAACCACTTCCCCTGACAATCAACAGCTCCGGCCCTTCACAGGCTTACCCACAACTCGCATATCGTAACCCTCTACAGCAGCTCGTAAACTTCCTCGACTCGCAGCACGGAACAGACTGGGCGATATGGGAGTTTCGGGCGGAGGGCACTGGGTACCCGGACGAGGCGGTGTACGGGAGGGTCAGACACTACCCCTTCCCTGATCACCACCCCCCGCCGTTTAGGCTGGTGCCTATGATGATGGCCAGCATGAGGAACTGGCTCAAGGGCGGGGAGCTGCATGTGGAGGGGGATGCTGGGGGTGCCGCCGTCGCCGGGGGTTCGGCCGGTGCAGCCGACGCGAGAGATGCAGACGGCAGAGGCAGCGCAGATGGCAAGGAACTCGCTGGGATCAAGGAAAGCAAACGGGTCGCCGTCGTCCACTGCAAAGCGGGCAAAGGCCGCAGCGGCACGGTGAGCTGCAGCTACCTCATAGCCGAGGAGGGCTGGACGGCCGAGGACGCGCTCCAGCGCTTCACGCAGCGCCGCATGCGGCCGCAGTTCGGCGCGGGTGTCACCATACCCTCGCAGCTGCGGTGGGTGGGCTACGTGGACCGGTGGACGCGCGGCGGCAAGCTGTATGTGGATCGGCCTATCGAGATTGTCGAGCTGCGCGTCGTGGGGCTGCGCAACGGCGTGCGGCTCGACGTCGAAGGGTTCGAGGACGAGGGCAAGCGCATCGTGAGCCTGCACACCTTCGATCGCAGCGAGCGGCGCATTGTTCACGGCGACCCCCCGGACGGCGGTGGCCTGGCGGACGCCGTGTGGGATCTGGCCGGGTACCCGGCCGCCAAGGCCCCGGCGCAGGCGGACCTGGCCGAGGCGGCCAACGACGAGAGGCCCGGCGGCGGCGCAGACACGGCGCCCAGCACTTCAACTAAGCTGGACCTGCTCAGGAAGCAGTCGACCAAGCTCATAAGGATGGCGTCCGCGGCGAGCATATTCAAGGGAGGGGGCGGCACGTCGACGACGGCAGCAGCAGCAGCACCAGCAGCAGAGGAGGGCAAGACGCCCGAGTCTGGCGGCGAGCAGCAGCAGCAGCAGCAGCACCGGCAGCAGTCATCTTCTGCGTCGTCCTTCGTCACGGACGAGGAACCCGGCGGCAAGTCGGTCGTCTTCAGGCCCAAGACGCCCATCATCGTTCCCAACAGCGACGTCAACATCTCGGTGGAGCGGCGCAATCGCGCCCGTAAGGGCATGGGGCTAACCGTCACCACGGCCGTGGGACACGTCTGGTTCAACGCTTACTTCGAGGGTGGCGGCCCCGAGAAGGAGAAGGACGGTGGCCGCCCGGACACCGAAGGCGTCTTCTCCATCGCCTGGGAGGCAATGGACGGCATCAAGGGCACCAGCAGGAAGGGGACCAGGGCTCTGGACAGCCTCGAGGTCGTCTGGCGCGTCGCAGGGTCGTCAGACGGTGAGGTGGTGCGTGAGCCGGCGCAGGGGGATCCCGTGCCGGAGCCCGAGGCGGCGGATTGGAAGGGCGGTGCTGAGGCGGAGCAGAGGACGGAGGATGTGACCGGCGACGGGAACGGGGAAGAGGATAGCCATGATGAGGAGGAACACGGAGGGGGGAAAGGAGTCGAGGATATGACCGAGACGGCGTCGATGGATGGCGTCAAGACTAGCGGTCCTGGCGGGGAGGAGCTGCCACGGCGGTGATGATGTGATGGTATGATTGTATTGAGCGGTATCAATCAACCGTACCGAGCAATGCCATCAAACAGTAGTATACTGATGAGAGACGTGAGAAAAAAAACGAGTAAATTAATATGGATCATATACTACTAGCAGTATAATACACCGACATCACTGCAGCGTTGTCTAGCTTTGAGTGATGATACCCGATTATATCACTGTATAATGAATGATATGTGATGCCTCGACAGGATGACTGGCGGATGACTTACTCATCTGAAACCAACAAGGGACCTCTGACCTTCCCCCGCCAACCATCTCTCCAATCTCAACCACTACCTCTTGTCAACACTTTCACCTCAACACCGTCGCCCGCCAAAACAAAACGCAGCCAAGAGACGGGACGGAGGAGAGAGTAGATAGCAGCATGGTCAAGCTACCAACCCTCCTGGCCAGTCTGGCCAGTCTCGCCCTCATCACCCCAGCGGCATCCCAGTTCCCGCCTAAGCCATCAGGCGTCAAGGTTCTCCGATCCAAGTTTCACGAAAACGTCACGATATCATACAAGCAGCCGCAGATATGCGAGCCCGAGGAGTTTGCCAAGTCGTATTCCGGCTATGTTCATCTCCCCCCCGGGCTGGTGGATGACGTCGATGGTGAGAAGCAGGATTATCCGATAAATACGTGCGTACTACTAGTATTAGTTCTACTACTACTATTACTACTACCTCCCCAGTCTCATCAGCAGGGACAGGCAATTGAATGAGCTGATTGCCTCCACTGCAGATTCTTCTATTTCTTCGAAGCGAGGAACAACCCCGAGGAAGCCCCCTTGGCCATATGGCTGAATGGCGGCCCCGGCGGATCATCCATGTTCGGCCTCTTCCAGGAGAACGGTCCCTGTCTGGTGAACCGCGACTCGCAGACGACACGGTTCAACCACTTTGCTTGGAACACGCACGTCAACATGCTGTACATCGACCAGCCCAACCAGGTGGGCTTCTCGTACGACGAGTTGACCAACGTCACTGTCACTTCGACGCCTGACCAGGACACCGTCACTGCGCCAGCCAACTTCTCTTCTCCTTCCTCCCTCGGCGATCATGGCATACCGCCCCAGGGCCTCCCCGAGACAAATGCCACGTACCGCTTCGGCACCACGGGAAGCAACAAAGTCTCACGCACGGCCAACAGCACCGCCCAGGCGGCACACGCCCTGTGGCACTTCGTTCAGACGTGGACGAGCGAGTTTCCCCACTACGGGCCCCGCGATGGGCTCATCAACCTCTGGACCGAGAGTTATGGAGGACACTACGGTCCCGGAATCATGCGCTTCTTCCAGCTGCAGAATGAGAGGATAGACAACGGGACTATCGGCCCAGAGGAGCATGCTCATCATCTTCATCTAGATACGTTGGGTATCATCAACGGGTTCATGGACTCGGCTATCCAGGGCAAGGCGTACATTGACTTTCCCCATAACAATGTGAGTTGCCGTTATACCATAGAAGGATAGCGGAAGAGGAAGAAATATACTGACATGGGGGGGGGGATTCCAAGACATATGACATCCAAGTCTTTGACGACAACCTCCACTCGGAGCTCCTCTACAACTGGACACGGCCCGGCGGCTGTCTAGAGCAGACGCGCGAGTGCGAGTCGCGCCTGGCGTCTTTCGACGCTGCCTCGGTGAACCGCGGCCTCGTCCCCGTCAGAGACGTGTGCGACACGGCATCCTGGTGCGAGGACCACGTCATCGAGGCGTACGTATCGGGCGGTCAAGCCGGCTGGTTTGACGTCGCCCACCCTTCCGCCGACCCCTTCCCGGACCCCTACCTGCATGGCTACCTTTCACAGGAGCGCGTGCTGTCGGAGTTGGGCGTGCCCGTCAACTTCTCCGCCTTCTCGCCGCCGGTGGCCGCCGGTTTCGCGTCTACTCATGACAGCGTCCACGGCGGCTTCCTCAACGCGATAGCCCACCTGCTCGACAGCGGCATCAAGGTACACCTTATCTACGGCGACCGCGACTACGCGTGCAACTGGATCGGCGGAGAGGCCGCCAGCCTGGCCGTCCCCTACTCACGCCGCGATGACTTTGCCGCCTCGCCCTACGGTCCCTTCACCACCGGTAGCGGCCACGGCGGCCTGTCCGGCATCACGCGCCAGCTTGGAAACTACAGCTTCACCCGCGTCTTCCAGGCGGGCCACATGGTCCCATCGTACCAGCCACGCGCAGCGCACGAGCTCTTCCATCGCGCCACCTTCAACCTCGACATGGGACTCGGCATCTTCCCGGTGCACGACGGCCTGGAGAACGACATCGGCTCCGACGCTGTCCATCGTTGGATGAAGAACACGCCCCCCGCTAGACCTGAGCCCGAGTGCTATGTCCTCTATCCTTCATCCTGCACACCCGAAGTCTGGGCTAGGGTGATCGCCGGGGAGGCCATCATAAGGGATTACATTGTCGTTGGGTTCCAGGGTGGTGATGAATTGTAGTTCATTATCGTTTTATTTATTTCTTACCCTTGCTGAAAGTATTTTTTTTTCTTTTGAAGCCGCTATAATGTAAATGAAGATTCATTCCTCAGATAATATAAAAACAAGCGAAAAAAAGTCAATTAAATGAAGAAGCACCTCTGAACTCCGTAAAGGAAAAGAAAGAGGACGGCGTGACATGACTGTGTCTCTCTCTGTCCATAACCCCTCCTCCTCCCGATTTTGATACAATGCACATGGTATATATGCACCCCCCATCTACGTGGACAGCCGGTTATTATGCTCCTCGTAGAACTCGAGCGTCAGGGCCGCCAGGAAACCGGGGATGCACCCCTTCTCCCTGACCCAGAATCCAATCTGGTCGCTTATCCTCTGGGCAAAGGGGCTTTTGGGCCCGCCGCCGACCTTCATGGTGCCCCTCTCTCCGTCAAAGATGATGGAGTTCTCGTTCTCGTCCGTCTGCGAGGGGAAGAAGGTGCTCTCGACGCGCATCTTGCCGTTGGGTATGAAGGTGACGGTCCAACCGAGCGTGGAGAAGATGGCCTCCTTGAACTCGTTCGACTTGGACGCCCACACCTCCTTGAGGCGGCGGGCCGACTTCTGCGCCGACGCCGTCTCCGCCTTGGCCGCCGCCACCTGCCGCTCCATGGCGCCCAGGACCGACTTGGGGATGTAGGGCACGTCGGTGGGCTTGCTGGCCTCGCGCGACTGCAGCGTTGCGAGGAGGTCTCTGTTCTCCTTCTGCAGCGCGTCCAGCGTCGCGCGCTTGACCGCCTCGTGGTCCGCCGTCGGGTTCGATCGCAGCGACAGCACGCGCGTCGAGCTCTGGTGCTTGGCCGCCCGGAGCTGCCCGCGCGTCGCCATCAGGTCCTTCTCCATCAGCGCTATCTGCGACTTCATGCTCGTCGTGTCTTGCTGCAGCTTGTGGTTCTTGCGCATCAGCTGCCCGATCTGCTCGTTGGCCGCCGCGATCGCCGCGTCGTTGTGTCCGCCACCGCCGCCGCCGCCGTCGTCGTACGACGACCGCTGCCGCTTGCTTCCCGCGCTGGCCTGTGGCGTCGACGGCCCGGACCCGGCCGCCCCGGAAGACGTGCCGCCTGCCTCGGCCGCCGACAGCTCAGCGTGCAGCTTCTGCACCTCGGCCTTGTACTCGTCGATGACCGTCTCGAGTTCGTGGATGCGGACCGCGCGGGCCTCGTCGTGCTGCTCCGGTTGCATCGTCTCGTCCTCGACGTCGAACGTCTTGAGCTGCGCGCGCAGGTACTCGACCTCCTTGACAGCTAGGGCGCGCTGGCGTTCGACGCGCATGAGGGCCTTGTCGGCACTGACCGCGTTCGTCACGGACTTGGTCTCCTCCACCGCCGCCTTGAGGGCCGCAATATTGTCCTCCATCGATGCCATCGTCGCCTCGTACGACGACAGCTTAGCCTGCAACTCGCCTATGTGCTCCAGCTGAGATGCCGAGTTGATGCGCTCCTCGGCCAGCGCACGCGCCATCTCCTCTGGTGAGTCGAAGCGCATGTCGTCGTCGCCCTCGCGCTCCAGGTATGACGTCCACGCCAGCCGCTCATCCGAGAGCCTCTGCCGCTGCAGCCGCTCCTCGGCCAGCTCGCGCTCGAGGTCAACCGCCGCATCTACCTTGCGCATCAGCGTCCTCTTCTCCTCCTCCACCACCTCGACCGCCTTGTTGGTCGCTCGCAGGCGCTTGAGCTCGCCCAGCTGGTGTCTGTTCGTCGCCTCGAGCGCCCGGATGTGCGCCACCTGCTCCGACAGCTCCGTCTTGATGATCTGCATCGTCTCGGCGTCACCGCTGTGCGCCTTCAGTCGGAGCACATCAGCCTCGAGATCTGAGATGTATGCGTCCCGGTCCAACAGTTGCGCCTGCACCTGCTGCAACGCCGCATCCTTGGTCCGTGACTCCTCTTCGGCCTCATTCAGGGAGCTCTGGATTGCCGTCACCTGGATCTGCAGGTCGCTGGTCTTCTTGTCCGCCATCCGCGCCGCCTCATCTTTGGCATTGGCCAGATCTTCGAGCTGCTCCTGCAGAAGGCGCGCCTCATCTTCAGCCTGCCGCGCCCGACGCTCCAGCGCCCTCTTGTCCGCGTCGACCGACTTCTTGAGAGCGTCCATTTCGTTCCAGGCGGCCTCAATCTTCTCGTCGGCTGCCGCCTTCTGTGACTCGGCCAGTCGTCTCAGCTGTGCCTCCTCCTGCTCCCGTCGGCGCGCTTGCTCTACCCGGTTGCTTTGCTGCGACAGGGCAATCTCCTTTTCCGACTCGGACGTCTGCATTCTGTACTGCAGCGTGCCAATCTCGGCCTTGAGCGACTCAATCTCGCGGCGGTACTTTTCGTATTCGTCGGCGTCGGGCGGTGCCACATTTTCCTTGTAGCTCTCGCGCGAGCTGGGGCGCCCAGAGTCGGCCCCCATGCTCTGCTGCGAAGGCGCTCGTGCAAAGTCTATTCCCCCGATGCCGGTAATCGTGTGGTTGTTTGTCGGTTGACTGGCGCGAAAGGAGATCTGATAAAAGGGCGTCACTGTCAGTCTCAACTTGTCTTTGCTCTCCTCACTTTGCTATCTATAGTGATCACACAACTTACGCGGGACTCGCGAACGGACGGGGCTTGAGGTCTGGGAAGGCCAGAGACGCTGGCACGAAACCGGTTGCTCGAATTAGAGCTCCGCCGGCTGTGTGAGCCATCGCCACCTTGGGGCGTGTGACTTCGCATGGTGGCCGGCAAGGTTGAGTACGAATGTAGGTTTGTTGAATCGTACAATAACAAGCTCGCGTCTTTGTTGCATGAGCTTGTGGTGGACGCGGCGACGGTCTCGGCACGTGACTTTCGTTGCGCTAAGCGTTACAGTGTAAGTGCTAAGCTAGATCTGGTATAGGGTGAGCAGATTATCAAGGGAAGGTACGTACTTAGCTGTACGGGTTGTACCTGCCTACAATTCACTTGGCAAACGGCGGAAGGAGCGGGGCAAGCCGCCCGCGAAGACTTTCCATGCTTCCTTCCTTTAGAGACATGTGAGCTGCCGGATTGGCCAACAGAGAAAAGAGGGTTCCAAGCTCCGTCTCAAGCTTCGGTAGGAAACACCCGCATCTCCGCCTTCTTTTTTCTCTCTCTCGCATCTTCACTCTTTTCTGTCTGTACTTTTACTCATCATCGCCTCTCTCATCTTCACCCACAACCGACATCCTCGTTCCGCTGTATACAACACGCTTTTCAGCTGCGCATGGCGACAAGCTCTCGGTGAATTGCTCGTAGCCGAGCTCCCCCGGCCTTAACCGTCGTCATCCCGTCTCCCGCATCAGCAACAACGTCTCCGTTTCCCTCATACAGAGGTGCCGTCCACCATGATGCAATCTCTCAGCATGCGGGCATGTGATATTCCTAAATATGGCCAACATGGTTGTGACGTTGCTAACTGTCTGTCTGTTCTGATTCTGTCGGATAAATAGTCCTTCAAGATACCGCCGCTTTCGGCCTCTGTGCCGTCCTCCATGTTCCGCTCCATCTGCAATCCTCCCTTCCAAGCGCGTCACGCCCTAACCCTACGACGAAACGACAAATATCTCCGAATTCCGACCAATCTCGTACGATGGTCGACGACCTCCACCGGTACGCCCTCCTCTCCTGGGGATAGTAGCCAGACCAAACGCGAGTCGGCTAGCGGCAGGTTTAACCTGTACGGAGACGACTGGGAGGACTCGGCCGACTTCACCATCAAGTCGTTTGACGACCTCCCGCATCGTCTATTCGGCTCCAACCAACACATGATTATCAATTACGAGCTCAAAGAAGCCATGCGCCTGATTCTACGCCAGTTCAACGCTCCCATCGTCTATGGGTTCGCCTACGGCTCCGGTGTCTTCCCTCAGGAAGAATCCGGTCGCAGCATCAGTGAAGCCGACTTCCGCGCCGTTCACCCCAAGCCGCCCGAAGCGCTGGTCAAGTCGCAAAAGGGCTCGCCCAAGATGATTGACTTCATTTTTGGCGTGTCTCATACGCAGCACTGGCACTCGATCAATATGAAGCAGCACCGCAACCACTACTCGGGCGTGGCGTCGCTTGGCTCGGGCTTGGTGTCGCGCGTCCAAGACTGGGGCGCAGGCGTCTATTTCCACCCCTATGTCGAGGTTAATGGCATTCTCATCAAGTATGGCGTCACGAGCATCGACAACCTGGTCAACGACCTGACCACCTGGGACAGCCTATACCTGGCTGGCCGCTTGCAGAAGCCTGTCAAGATCCTCCGCGACCACCCTCGCGTGCGCCTCGCTAATCAACACAACCTGATCGCCGCCGTCCGTACTGCCTTGCTTCTGCTCCCTCCAGATTTCACTGAGTCGCAGCTATACAACGCCATCTCGGGCATCAGCTACCTGGGTGACCCGCGCATGGCGTTGCCGACGGAGAACAGGAGCAAGGTGAGTAACATTGTCGACAACAACATGGTGCACTTCCGACGATTGTACGCGCCCCTCATCAAGACTCTGCCCAACGTGTCGTTTGTCGACCAATGCCGCCTAGACGATGAAGAGTGGGTGCTCAACCCGCATGCCGACTTGCGTCTGCAGCAGGACATGGATCCCGTCAAGCGCGGCAACATGGTCCGACGACTGCCAGGCAAGTTCCGCTCGCGTCTGTACTTCCAGTACCAGAAGAAGTTTGCTCTCCCGCGTGAGGAGTACGCGTCCATGATACGGGCCTCGTCGGGCGACGACAGCGAAACGAAGCGTCTAGGTGGCGAGTTCGAGAGGCGCATTGCTGCTGACGACCCGGCCCAGCTGACGGCCACGGTCCGCGGCGTCATCAAGCAGACGGTCAACTGGCCCAGCACCATCCAGACGCTCAAGGGACCCCTTATGAGCGGGTACTCGCGTACGGTGCGCTATGTGGCCGAGAAGGTCGGAAAATGGCGCAAGGGTCGTGCCGACGAGAAGAAGGCTGCAGCCAAGACGGCGGCCAAGGTGGTACCGACACCGGCACCGACATCCTCGGCAGCTTCCGACAAGTCTTCCGATGCTTCCGCTGAACATGTCACACCGGCAAAAATCAAGGATACCCCACCCATCGATACTCCGCCCAGGGAGAAATCGGATTAAAAGTCCCATTGTTTTTACGCAGATGCCATTTCCTTTGTTTCTAAATGTACAATAGAATTGTTGTATCAGTTCAGTTAAAGTAAAAAATACACACAAAAAAGGACAGAAAGAGTAGGCGACATAGACTTAGGAGACGGAAAAAAAGAAAGATATCGAAGGAATTGAAAAAATATAATATTCTGCACAACTCATCATACGCACATGTGCAGCCGGCATATGAGACCTCACGTTTGATAGTACTAATATGCTATACAAGGCTCAGCATCCAACATTCAACGCTAGTACAGGCAAGTTCAAGGATCAAGCAAAAGGGTTAAAATTCAACTCGGCAGACTTATAAGGCGGAGGGGGAAATCCTAGTAAACAAAAGGGATATATTGTCATGTTGGCTACAACTTCTTCTTACCAATAATTACCTACTTACTATAAGAGAACACGAAGGGAATAAGGGGGGGGGGACTGAATTGACTGACACACACAAGCAAAAAAGAAACGTACAAACGGAACTAACGAAAGAACAAGAGACGAGTAGTATAAGAAAAGGGAAGAAGAAGAAGAAGAGAAAGCGGAAAAAACGGAGTATGGGATTGATTACCCCTATTTACCTTCATATTTCCCACTGACAAGCTTCTTTGTAAGGGGGACATCTACCCAAGACTGTAGATCAGATCGGGCATCAGCGTCGGCAAAGGGGTCGTCGTCGTCGTCGACATCCTCGTCATCGTTTGAATTCGCGCTGGCGGGCTCCTTACCCTTGGCCTCGACGAGTCTGGAGATGGAGATGGGTGAACCCACGGCGGCACCCTCTTCGCCGGCGGGGACGGTGTACTCCCACCTCGCCTCGACGTGGCCGGGCGCCGGCTCGATGCCCTCGGCGCCCAGGATGCGGCAGACGATTTTCTGCGTGTTGGGCGTGAGCGTCACCTCGCCTAGGCGCCAGTACACGAGGTGTCGGTCCTTGAGGTGCGTGCCGGTCGGCTTCGTCTGCGCCCCCGCCGCCCTGCCCTCGTACGTGGCCACCAGGACGACGTTGTGCAGCGTCAGAGGGGCGCGGTACACGCTCGACGGGTTGAGCCGGTATTGGATCAGGAGTCCGAGTTTGTCGCCCTGAGGCTTCCATGCTGGCAGCAGCTCAAGCGGCGCGTGCTGTCCGAGCGACGACGGGTCCGCGTCCGACGGGGAGAAGACGCGGTACGAGAAGGCCGTCGTCATCTTGGTCAGGTGAGACACGTCGAGTGAGAACTGGTCCGGCTGGTCGGCCGACGTGTTTTGCACAAATATGCGGTTGGGGCCGATGCGATCCAGGCTGGCAAAGTCGTTGATCCTGATGGTCTCGTGGGCTGTGATTGTCACTTCCGGTTAGCTGCCATTCCATTATTTCATTGTAGAGAGGGAAGGAGGGGAGAAGAAGCATACTCTTGGTGGAATCGGATGAGTTGTTGACAAAGGCGATCTCTCCTGAGATCGACGCCGTCTTAAGCTCACCACCCTCGTAGTGTACCGACACCGTCTCGATGATGGACGAGTTCAATCCCGGCGCTGTCATATCCGGGTGCCTGGAGTGCACCAGGCTTCCCAGGGACGTTCCCGACCTGACAGACTGCGTGTCTGACGTTCCGGCGACGCTGTTCTCGGAGGCCAGTGCTGTCACGGCGGTCGGCCGAGGTGACAGGTTTGGAGGGGGAAACGTGGGCGACCCCATCGAACCACCGCCGATGCTGCTGCCGCCAAAGCTACCAGCACCAGTAGCGCCCGTAGCGCTGTGGGAAGAGGGCGGCGGCATAGGGAAGTCCAACTGGCTGCCGGCGCCACCTGAGGGGACCACGTTGGGCGAGGGCACGTAGATCGTGTTGCGCACGTCGCGACGGCCCCTGGTAGTTCCGGTGCGGCGGACAGCGGGGCCGGCTTTGAGCGAGTTGGCAACGCTGGACAGGGCGGCCTGCTTTGCCTGCGGGTCCTCCTCTTCGATGGGCTTGTTCTGAATGTTGAGGCGGAACAGCTGTTCGGCCTCGTCGTTGGTGATGCCCGATGCCTCACGCTGGGCGGCCGAGATGGGGTCGTTGACCGGCGCGGGGATCGTGTATCCCTCTGCATCCTTAGCTGGAGGTGCCGGGGGCTGCTGCAACTGCTGCTCTGGCTGGGATGACGAGGCTTGGGTCGCGGGGATCTGGCTTCTGTTGAAGCTCTCGCCGGGGGGGGTCGCGCCTGACGACTCCTGCGTGCTTTCGTCGACGCCGATGGCGGTAGACTGCGGAACGGGCGAGTCCATCAGGTTCTCGCTGAGCCCGACGACGCCATTGCCATTGGTGTTGCCCTCGTGCAGAGATCTGTCGACAAACTGGTCCTCCTCGTTTTCCGGCAGATCAGGAGCCTCGGACAGGGCGCCCAGGCGATTTGAGTCCTTGAGGTTACCATACGATCCCTTGGGGGAGACGCCATGGCTCTCCTTGCCGCCCAGGCGGCCAAACGGTGACAGGCCCGTCTTCTGTGAGGGCATGCTAGGATGGATGCTCTGTCTACGGCGGCCACCCAGAATTGTACCGAGTCGACGTAGTTTGGACTCTGCATGTCTGGTCAGCGGTCTGGATAGGTGAGGGGGCGAAGTGGGGGGGGGAGGAAAAGACTCACCGAGCTTGGGCTCCGGTGCGGGGGGGGGTTCGACAGACGGGCCATCGGATGAAGGGGGGGGGTACGAGATTGTCGGGGTAGCGGTGGACTGCCCAAGGGCAGAAGCGGCGCCCAAGTTGGACGGCGTGGGCGAGGTCTGAGTCTCGACAATGGACGAGCGGCGGTTGGAGTGCTGGGTCGGAGTCCTCTCGCGTGCCGAGGACACTTTGTCGACAAAGCCGAGGACTTCTGTCTCGGTGCTGATCTCGAGAAGCTGGGAGAGGGTGTTGGCCGAGGCGTCGAGCTTGCGCTGAGCACAGTCGGTCTCGTTGGTCTGATACTGAGTGAGGACGTCGCGGAGGTGGTTGATGCGCGACTCGTCGAGAGCCTGGAGCGACTCGAAGATGTAGGGGGCCGTCGACTCCCACTGCTGGGTAGCCGACTCAAGCTTAGCCGAGGCGTCGGCGAGCTTCTGGACGCTGACCTTGGCGCCCTTCCTCCCAAGTTTCTCGTTGTCCCGCTGGGCTTCGTCCAGAGTCTTGGCCATGGTGGAGAGGTTGGCCGACATTGTGCTCATGTCAGCGACGTCCTTTCGTAGATGGAAGCTGCGCAGGGGCGTCTCGACGTCGCGTTCGACATTTTCGGCAAACTGATGATGCGAAAGGGCCACCTTTTCTACGTCTTCGATCACTCGGGTCCAGGGTCCTTGGAAAACGCTGCGAAGGGAGTCGGTCAGTATCATTGTAGAGTCGTAGACAGCCAAGCGGCGGGATTGGGGGGGCAGTAGGGGAGGCGACGCACCCCAATTCGGACTGCGCGTTGGGCACTTTGTACTGGGTTAGTCTGCGCAATCCCAGGACGTATTGTTCTTCGACTCGACGACGTTCCTATATATGTTGCACGCTCGCGAATCAGTCTCTCGGCCACCTGACGCTGTGCGTGCCGGGTCCGGGCGCGGCGGAACTGGACGGGAGGAGGGCCGGTCGGGGCTATGTACCTGAAGCCATTCGGCTATCTCAACATTGACTCGGTTGATACGTTTCACGCGGTCATTGAGGACATGAACGGCCTGGTCGGGCGAGATAGTGGCCTGTTCAACGTGGCATGGTGGTTAGCAGAAGTCATACGGGGGAGGGGGGAAATAAACAGGAGAGGAATGCAAACGTACCAGGACGCCAGGATACTCTAGCCTCGACGACTCGTCCATGTTTCCGACTCACGCAGGACGAGCGCAGGAGATGCAAATCTATATCAGGGTGGATGTGGCGTGATGGACTGTTGTTCTGCTCAGTTGGGTCGGCAAGACTTATGCGATGCGGAGAGGTGGGAAAGCACACATGGCGATGCAGCGATAGTCCGAGGTTTGCTGTTGTCGGGCCAGAAAATATAGCAAAGCGGATACAGAATATGTATAACAAGTACGAGTAAGAGCGAGAATGTATAGATGGTGAGAGGAGAGAGAGAGAGAGAGAGACGAGGAACAGCGCAAGCGACGGCGTATGTTGCGCTTTTAGCGAAATGTCATGATTTGGGATGGATCAATGGCATAGAGCTGCCGGCGATGGATGACGGCCGATGGAGTGCCCGGGCTTTCCTGGGGGGTGTTGATGAGGTAATCGGTCCACTATCTTGGTGAATACTAGTGCATATACTCGCTGTAGTCCGCCGTAATCCACGAATGTTTAGTGGGCTATGCCGGACGGGAGTGTCAATTGTGTGCCGATGCCCGCTGTCAGATCACTACGAGCTCCCTGGAAGACTGCTAAAGCCCTCTGAAGTGCTCTGGAAGCATTTGAGGTATGAGGACCCACTAAACCTCCATCCTTCCTCGCCTTCCCCCATCATCATCTCTCTCACCCATTATTTATAGAGATATGAATCAATCCAGCGCAGCTAATACATCCAGCATTTTCATTGCTAGCAGAGCTATGGTTTGATCTAGTTTCATTCCTCTGTATCCTGTCTATATATGCGTCGTATATATACACGAGGGGACAAGGCTCGGGAACGAGAGAAAGCGAGAGAATATCCTCCTAGACAGACACCTGTCTCATGTGAGTGAAGGCCTTGGTCGCAGGGGTTCACCAGGGGAAATTATGTCTCTAATCCTCGCCAGGTTGACAGCAACGTCGCATGTAGTGCTACCACCATATTCGTACGGGAGAGTGTGCTAGAAACATCCACGACTCACCTGGGGTTTTCGGGGTTGAGAGACGACCTCCCAAGCTTGGCATCATGGCCGACTGGAGATCATCACTGTCAGCATCAGACAGATATAATGCCATTCAGGCCATGTAAGCGTCCCCCAAGGATACTCAATATTAGAAGACAATACTGGGAAAGGATGCTCACCCTCATTCACAAGACAGTCATCCCGGGGCCTGGATATGCCCTCGGCCGTCTCCATTGAACAAGAAACCTACCACTCATCCTCCTCCAAGGTGAGCATACAAACCTCCTCTCATCCCCTACCGTCCACACTTCGACCGCACTGACACGCATACAGCAAGAATACCTAGACGCCTGCCAAGCACAGGCACCGTCAACACGGACGCGAGAAGCTCCCGTCTCAGCCGGCCATCATGACCCCGACGTCCCGGGCATCCCCATCGGCCCCCACCCCAACTGCCACCCCATAGCATCGGGCATAACATCTCAAGTATACCGGGCCGGCAGCACAGCCCTGAAAGTCATCGTTGCCCATACCGAGCCTCACAACCCTCAGCGCGAGGTCCGCATCCTCGAGTCCCTCCGGGGGACGAGGTCCATCATACAGCTCCTAGACGCCTTTCGCGACGCAGAGTCGCAGCTCGTCTTGGCCTTCCCCTACATGCCCCTGACCCTAGCCGACGTGATTGCCCGGGGAACGCCGGCACGCCCCCAGGTCGTCTCCATCGTGGCCGACGTGCTGCGCGCTCTGTCCCACATCCACTCTCTGGGAATCATCCACCGCGACGTCAAGCCTTCGGCCGTGCTGCTCGAGTCCCCCTCCGGCCCGGCTCATCTGTCTGATTTCGGAACAGCCTGGCACCCAGAGTACTCGTCTGCCAAGGAGCCTGCCTCCGCCAAGATCCTCGACATAGGCACCGGCCCTTATCGTGCCCCCGAGGTCCTCTTCGGCCACGGCGCCTACGGTGCCCCAGTGGATATGTGGGCTGTTGGCGTCGTGCTGTCCGAGATGGTACGCACCCCTGCTGAGCCTATATTCGAGTCGCGTCCGGCCCATGAGGATGGCAGCCAGCTCGGGCTGATACTCAGCATCTTCAAGACGCTGGGCACGCCTACGCCGGAGACGTGGCCTGAGGCACAGAACTTCAAGGTCACACCGTTTGAGCTTTGGACGGTGTTTCCTGCCAGGCCGTGGGATGAGCTACTCCCTGGTGTTGGTGCCGACTGGAGAGATCTGATTGCTGGCCTTCTGCGTTTTGATGCTAAGAGGATGACGGCTGACGCTGTAAGTCCTCCCCCCGTCATATCTACCTTTTCATACGCATGTACTGACAACCACAGGCATTGCAGTCTAGTTGCTTTTTTGAATGAGATTATATTCAATCGGATTCTTCTACTTTTAAACCTTTTTTTTCTGTCTCTATCATCTTTCACTTTCTTTTACGTGCTCATGTATCTCCTTTTCGATGCGTGGTGCGCATCAACCTTGCCTCCTCTTTTGCGTATCCGCCCCAAGGTAGTCGATAGGATTTCTGCACAGCGGGCAGGTATTCTGGTTGCTCGTCTGGAACCACTTGTAAAGGCAAGTCCTGTGGAACAGGTTACGACAGGTCGTGCACCTCTTGTCGGGCATTCGCTTGTCCGTCGAGATGATGCTGTAGCAGATGGCGCACTCGCCCTGGCCCTTGAGTGCGCCGACAATGTTGCGCTTGAAAACCTGCAGGCCATCAATGATGTTGCCGTTGGAGAAGGTGATTACACCCTGTGTCGTCATGATCCACGACTGCCACTTGCGCTCCGTGACGGCCACGCGGTGCAGACCCGTCACCGTCACGCCCTCTAGCGGGTAGCTCGAGGGGATCTTGATGGCTATGGCGGCCTGAGACTCGTCCACCTCGTATCCCGCCGTGACCTCGCGTGCGGTTCGGGATACCTTGACGATGAGATCTTGCTCGTCGTCGCCGGTGCTCGGCTCCTGCGTGTCCACCCATCTCTGCACCTCGTCGAGGGTGTCGTCGACTGTTAGAGGCGAGAAGTACCGCGTCGTCCACGCCTCGACAGCGATGCGCGTCTGCTTCGACCGGCAGTCCATGTACCACGACCGGAATAGTCCGGGAACGTACTTGAGCACCAGGTAGAACAGGTGCACCAGCAGCCACTGCATGCTCTTCTCATCCGTCTCGGCATCCGCCAGCTTCACATCGTAGTTGCGGATCTGCTCCGTTCCCAGACCCGCCTTTTCCAGCCTGAACGCGTGCGCCGCCGAGTGGCCCAGCACGTCAAACATAAAATCCAATAGCGGCGGTAAGCACCCTTCCGCCTTGAGGTTGTCGGAAAAGTCACCTCGAACTTTGAACGATGACGTGGAGAAGGCGTCAAAAACCAGCGTCCACGCGAGGAGGTAAGACCGGATAGCAGGTGGGAAGCGCGCCAGCATCTCGTCCGAGTACGACTCCAGGGTGGGCGCGTTCAACAACAGCGAGAGCAGCTCGTCCGGTAGACGGGCGTCCGTCTTGTCGAGCAACACGTCCACCGACTTCTGCGCCTGCTGTGCGGGGAGAGCTCGGTGGAGGAGGGTGAAAGCCGCCGTCTGGATATCGCGTGACTCGGCCGCCACGAGAGGGAACATGTCACCCAGGTCGGGCATGTGTCGCATCGGCAGCTTCTCCACCTCGCGGCAGATGATGCCGTCCACCACGCTGAGAGACAGCGACGACGACCCTTCCCGCGGCAGCTTGAGCAGCTCCACAAGTGCCTTGGACTTGTGCTCGCTAAACTCCTTTAGCGCGTCCTCCAGGTCGTCGTTGGGCTCCTCGAGGGCCTCTAGCGCCCTGACCAGATTGATGGACGCATGGATGAAGGCCAGGGCCTCAACCAGGGAGTACTCACCCGCCCTGGTCCACAGGGAACTGCAGAATTCAAGAGTCTTCTCCCAATATGATCCGTAGACATCCTTCATGCAAGGCAGGAGCCGCGTCAGCGACCGGCAGATTTCAGCGGAGAAGGCGGGGCTCAACGTCTCGGGCTCGTCCAGCCACGAAGTAATCTGTTTGGCGGCAAACACGATCCTATTGTTCGCCACGGGCAGTGCACCCTTGTCGTACACCTGGCCGCAGGCAGTGAGTAGGACGAGACTCATGTGTGCCTTTTCCGTCTGTGCAGACGCACCGGCAACGTCACTGACGAGCCTGTTGCAGAAGTTATTGACCTGCTTAGATGCCTGCGCCGTCTCGCCTAGCCCGGAAAGTACGGCCGCGGCAACCAGCACGGTAGCAGGGGTTGCCTTCAGCAGCTCCGTTTCCAGCAAGCGCTCCTCGAGACCGGCCGACAGCCCGTAGACCTCGACGTTGGACTGGATCATCTCAAGCAGGCAGCGGGAGCTGTACAGTCCCTTGGAGGTCAGCTGTGCCGAGTTGTGCAGCAACATATCAAGGAGCTTCTCTGCCATGGGCTCCTCGGTGCTCGCGGACGACCTGGCGGCAAAGCCAACTTTGTTAATGATGAGGTTGCGTGCGCGCGAGACAAGCTCCTCGGCATCCGAGAGGTCCTCCGGCCGGGCCAGCGACTTCCAAGGTCCATCGTAGTCCATTGTCGTAATCTGGTCCGAAACAATCTGCACAGTCGTCCAGTGGAGGTACAGAAGCTCAACCTGGAGCTGGGCAGGGAGTGCTGCAAAGTCAAGCCTGCTTTCGAGTATCCTGTTTAGATAAAGCGCCATTCGCACGGGGACAGATCGACCCTTGGAATCTCTCTGGCCCACTGGAGCTGCCTTGACATCCTCCTCCTGCTTGACCAAAGCAGCGGCACCGCCTGCGCTGCTAGTGATGGATAGTGACGGGTCTATGGGCTTTTGGAACAGAGGTACTAGCTCTTGCGTCCACACGCTGGTGCTGGGGAACAGGTCCTCAAGGGGGACGTCGGCAGCAGCCTCAGCTTGGGTGGCAATGGTTTCAATGCTGGTAATGCTTAGCTCCTTGATACACCCCAATAAGAGAGAGAAACGAATAAAAGAAAAGGGGGGGATGGAGGGGAATGGAGGCGTGGGAAAGGGAGAGCGCGTAGTGTTAAACATACTCTAGAGATTGTGGTGTAGCCCGGCCCAAATTGGACTGGATGATTCCAACGACAGGAAGTTTACCATCAGAGCTGCTATCCAGGAGGGCGCGTATTGCCTGTAACTTTGGCGAGGCAGCCCCATCCGCCATCTCTGAGAGGCTCAACAGCTTGGCCACAAGGGCAGTATGAAGGCTCTCATCGGCCGAGAACAGCTGGGGGCGGGCCTTGACGAGCATCTCCAGCGCGCGCAGAGCACTTGGCGACGTTTCAGCGTCCTTGTCCAGGGCTTTCACAACGTTCTGCGCGAGGTCATGGTAGACGTCCTCGTCCAGGGCACTGTAAGTGACAGCAGCATCAAGAAGGTCCCAGGCATCTGTCTTCCCTTGTGCGGTGGCAATTGCCTGCTCCAGCACGGCCTCTTTAAGGGTCTTGTTCTCCTTGGCGAGTTCGGCCCCCTTTTCATGAGAGATCAGGCTTGCCAGCGTCAAGTTGCGGGAATCTCCGCTCTCAAGTGCCAACGCGGCATCTACCAAGCTGTTCCACAGTCGGGAGTAGTCCCGGTCTCTTGCGGTAGACGAGCCCAGAAGACGAACCCACGAAAGGAAGTGGCGGGACGACGGCGAGTCGACAATCTTGGCCATGTCGATCTCGGCAGCCAAGACAAGGAAATCGGACAGAGCCTGCCACCTTGCTCCCTCAAACAGGTGGGGAGATGTGCTCAGTGCATGCTCAACGATGCGGGCAGCGCCGAACGGCTTGAGGTTACGGTTCTCCAAAAGCGATAGGCATTGCGAGATGACCCTGTCGGACGGGTCGGCGGTATAGTCAGTCGCGGAATCATCCGGCTCAGAAAGAAGCTTTTGGTGTATATGTCCGACCAGGCCAAACCAGCGTCTTCCATCCTCGCCGATCCTGTCCTGAGACGACTGGTACTCCTTGGCCACCTCGGGGAGAGATTCTGAAATTTTGGAGGAAAACATGGTGGCGAGACGATCCCATTCTTGACCGAACGCCGACGAGAGCTGAGGCTTTGCTGTCGAGGACAGGACTAGATAAGCTTGGACAAGAATAGCCGTTGCGTTGGGTCCCGATGGTAGCACTGTGGCCCTCTCCGACGCAGGGAAGAGGAACTGATCGAATATTGGGAACAAGTGCTCCTTTCCGAGGGTGAGCTGGTCATCAGCCCCCAGGGCTTCCAAGAGTCTCTTTGCCGTGTTGATGTAGCACTTCCAGGACGATGGCGCATGGGTCCGGGGCTCATCACGGTTCGTGACGCCAGACTTGAGAGACGTGAGAAGTGATGGCGGAGTGCTCCTGTCGGCACTGAGAAGCTCGACGGGGATACTCTTGAGCAGTTGGTCGAGAGAATCCCAGAAGCGGGCGCTGCTACCCTGGGAGCCCTTGGCCACGAAGGCCTCTAGTCGCGAGATGGGCGACTTCTTCTCACCAGCCGAAGCCCATATCTCTGGGTTGGACTGGGTCAGTTTCGTGAGAACGATGACGTACTCCAGGGCCGAGCCAGCCTGGTTCGTCCGCAGACCTCCGGTAACGACAGCTTGCTTCACCTTGGGGTCCTGGGTACAGGGAAGCTTGCGATCAAGGCAGGCAAAGAGAAGCTGGCACACAGTCTTTCTGACGGGTGAGTCGGCGAAAGTGATGGCCTTCCAGACGGTGTCCTGGGCAAAGAAGTCGTCGTAGCGATCCTGAAACTTGGCCATGTCGCCGTCTTGCATCTTCTGCAGCAGGGCTAGCACGAGGGAGAGCCCCGCGGTGACAACGCGGTAAAACTTGGCCTCTGCGTCTTCCTTTGTAGTGGAGCGCTCGTCGCTCAGGGTATCCTGCGTCTCCTGGATGGCGTCGACGGCGTAGTCGAGTATCTTGCCCTGACACTTCTTCCACAGTGCGAGTGTCTTCTCGGGTGTATTGAGGAACGAGGAGAGGCCGTCGTTGGCGGCGCGCGAGACAGCTCGGTCGCGGTCGTACAGCCCTGCAAGCCAGGCTCCCACTATGGTGGGGATGTGTCTCTCCATGCGCTTGCGTGCCGAGCGCATCAGCTCAAACTGCAGGGTGTGCGAAAGCTCACGCACGCGGCGCGAGTTGTCAATGGCCACGCGCGGGTACATCTGCACCCAGACATCCAGGACGGCCTCGTCGACGCCTCCGCCCTGCTCAAACGGATGCGACTGTGCGTGGTTCACCAGCTCCTCTAGACCCTTGGCCTTGGTGGTTCCGTCCTTCTTAAGCACGTTCTTGAAGGCGACGACGACGTTGGGGTCCGCCACAGCAACAAACGAGGGCGGTTCGGCCAGGTACGACAGCTTACTACGCCCCCCAGAGCTTCCAAAACCTCCGAATCCGCCTCCAAAGCCCCCGGCAGGACGGGGCACCGTCGCCGTCTTTCCCTTGCCTCTGCTCTGCTTCATGACGGCGGCATGCGGAGTGGTACCGCGGAGTGGTATCGCGGGATACAGGCGGGTGAGGGGAGGGAAGGTCGTATTCCCTGGCCAATATTCAGCTGTCGATCGGGTGGACTGGTCGGTATATAGATCAAGATAGCGGTAGAGGCTCGACAGAATGGCAGTCGCCGTCAAGTGATGGACTGCAATCACCAAGCTTGAATATGTGTGCTGTGTGGCGTCTTTGCGACGTTGGTGGGGTGTTTGCTGACTGAGCTCAAGTGATGTCACGAATTTTCACTTCTTCAAAGTGGGGTGCTGTTTCTTGAGACGACCATGGACTTTAGAGCAACGGTAACCATCGAAGCAGGAGCACCGCTGCGATGACAAAGTCTAGCAGAGGAACATCTGTTACTGGGCAGGATTATGGATGAGATTTTTCTTTTTGAAAACATCTTCCAAGTCTAGCCTCTTGCTTCTGTCATTCTGTCATCGACGGGTGAATGCATCTCGACGGCACTCTACCGTTCGCACCAAACTCGGCATTCTGACTCACACCGAACAAGGCTCTTCAACCCTACAGGTCATCAACGCAGCATCGCTCCTCTGTCTCAAGTCCTAGCCAAATGTAGATACAGCAGCACTTTTACTAACAATAACAATAGTAAAAAGACTGGAATAATGTTTCGAGAGAAAAGTTCCGAGGGCTACTGGTGAAGTTCGTGCCGGTGTACAGGAGGGATACAAGAAGTTTTCAAGATGTGCGCCAGCAAGGCGTAAGATCATGAAGTTTGTGCGGGCCAACACTTCGACACCCGCCCCCAAGATCTGCAACGTATATTTTTGACGAGAAGACAGCATCATTCCTGTCATTTCTATGGACTCCGTGGAGGGTTAAAGCCTCGGGAAGGCGTGGGCCGACTACACCGAGGTCGAGCAGGAGACAGTTCTCTTCCAGCTTCTCAGGTACATCGACAAACTTCGCCTCTTCAGACGCGGCTCCGTTGGTTTTATAGACGGCTCGGGATGCCATGACCAGTTCTTTTGCGATTATCCAGAAGAGCTCTGGTCGTACAAGACGGAGTGAAACTTCAGTCAGGAATTTTTGAAGGCGACCTTGACCCTTGAAACATTTTGCTTCGAGGGGACAAAGTCGTGCCCGTTCTGGATCGAGAGCTGTCAGGTTACTACGCAATCTAAGGGAGTATTGCAAGGCCTTGCTGCGTCCCGCTTGGGAGGGCCCTTGGAGTCAGAGCCAGGCAGTTGACAGGTTCCTGGAGGTTTTCCAGAAATATAGAGCACTAACGATGTCGTCGTCTTTTGGGGAGGAAAGTCACGATATAATCGCTATTGTTTGAAATTAAGTGGTCTTCTTCATTTCTTCTTTTTGACATCTATAGGATATTCACTCTGAATCCATTCCCTGACATATGGGACCATCTTCCAGCTCACTTTCCCTCTCTCCTATTCCCCGTGGGTGTCGTGGGGACTTCTCCGTAGCCTGCCCTCGGCATATCCAGCATCATTGGCAGATGGTCCATTCGATACGATACAGAACCAGAAGTGCCAATGCATCATACTAGCAGTAATCTCTACATGATCGTATCCGTAACCGGGATAATAACTATTAGTACGTATCAAACAGCCCGTCCCTCCTTTACCCTAAGACATTGGCCGGCTTGTCACATTGTGACGCAGCGTGCAATTGGTAATCCGATAAATGCTGAGACACGGCATGACGTAGCATCACCTTCGCGTTAACTGAGACCTTTAAAATGCGCACGGATAAAGTCGTCACTCATCTATTTACTATGTCTGCCTCAACAAGCGCGTTAACCTACTAGTAGTGTCATCTGTAGAGTGATGCCAGTAGTAACCAGTGATTCGCCCGTACATATACACATACATGTTCGTACGCGTTGTCATCATCATGCAGAGGTACAGTGTGGTGCTGAAAGTATCTTCGGTAGGAGGCGCCATCCCGCCACCACCAGTGCGTCTCTTGTAACTATCTTGATGACCAATTCACCCTTGAACATATCATGACTAAAAAGGTATATCGAAGGGGGGGGGGGGGGAGATTCAGGAACTGGTGTACGCTATGTTAGAGTTTACAATCGCCCATGACACAGTTCTGATGATGCTTATGGAGTGGTTTTGATCGTCACCGATGGCGGGGTTTGACAGACAGACCCGCTCGAAACCTTCTCGGTCGATGTTTTCGGATAACCTCGGCCCATCAACAGCATCGAAGTTAATTATCAAAGGGCCTCATTTATCAATTCCATTTGATCTCTTCCAAGGAAAGCCTCTTTTCTGTTTTGCTTTGTGACAGAGCTGGCTCGAATTGGCACGCCTGAGGTGGATGTTTCAGGTATCAGGGCGTATAATGAAGAGTGATCACGGGGAAATCACGCCACACAGCTAGAAGAGAAAAAGAAGAGACAAAGAGGGGGGGGGGGGGGGGGGGGGACCCAACGAGAAGATATTCCTTTGTTCATCAGATTCTCTCAATGGATCACTCGAAATATACGCACGCAGTGATGTCATGATTCGGCCACACATACGACCGGGCAATGTCGCGCAACAGAGCCGGGAAAATGCGAAAAAGTGCGACAGAAACATGGTCGGGAAAGACACCAATAATATTCCCGTCAGTTTAATTATTGGAAAGGTGTCGCGATAGATATCCCATGATCACAAACTGATGAATTCATAATTGCCTACCCGCATGAGGAAACGTTCCCAATAGGCGCCGTCGTACCATGTGGTGTTTTTACGAGCCTGTCATAGAGCGCATCGTACGTACATGGTGAAAAGTGTACCCGTTGTGGACTGATAGTTGGTGCTTGGATGGAGTTTCCAAGTGCGTCGTCAGCCGCTCCCTGTGAGAATGCTCGGATACCAAGCAGGGAAGGATGCCAACCACCAACCTGGTTTAGGCGACGAGGGAGGACACCATGTAGTCACCGTGGCCATATTTCCATGCCTCGTGATTTTTCTTGTTCATTCACATCAAATGGCCGGTAACATTAATAATGAAATAGATCTTGTAGTAGCGTGATGTTGTCTCCTAGCCGGTCGAACGGGGTGCTACCCCTTCTTGTGGCAAAATCCGGTAGTAGCCTGTAAGACAGCACAGGGTTTCGATCGTGCGGCCGTTCTTCAATAGCGGTGGGGAGGTACCCGCACTCGTACGGCTAGAAGGACGCGGCGCCGTAGTCGGATGTTAGCAAGACTCTTTTGGTGGTGTGAGGTGTCTGTCTGTGTCTGTCTGTCTGTCTGTGTGAGGAATCGACGCCGCCTCTCATAACTCAGTGACCCACATGGATACCGTGTACGTAAGTACCGCGTGTGTGTCGGCGTGAGTGTCCCCCAAGGCTATCCATTCCAGAAGGAGTACCCCTTCGATCGAGTGCTTCTTCTCGATCCCTCTTCACCAGGAACAAGCGGCAGACCCGTGATGAGAAGCAGGAAGTATGGCCAGTGGCGAGGTCCACACTCAGACTCGCAAAGCAGCGTAATATTCCATAGCACTCCGCTATTCGTGATAGAGAATTTCTGGGGTAACTCACGTCAATAACGGGGCAGGGCCTGGTAATAAATATATAAAGGCCATCATACTCTGTGGTAAGGGGTCATGCCTGGAGAACCGAACATGGGGTAACAGTGGCCATACCCTAGTAACCCTACGATCCCTATCATACAAGGTATTACAGGGGACTCCAAATAAGGAAGGCACTGCCAAGGTCTTGCCGAACCTCCTTCGTCAGCGAACTACGTCAGAGGCTCAAGCACCTCACGGTAATGTCTCCACTAAGTGGGACTTGTGTCTCGTTAAATACATATGTCATTGGCTATTACAATATTTTGAGTGGAGTCAAGTGTTTTCAGCGGCTTCTGCGCGTTCACTACAACAAGAGAAGAAAGTAAGGTGCCAGCGCCAGCGGCAGGAGCGCTTGCCAGGTGAAAAAAGTATTCAGCATACACCGGGGCGGGGTTCTCTCGCTATCTTACTGTTTGTGGGCGGACCTTAGACGGCTTCAGGGGACGAGGACTCTAGTTTCCACTCAACCACCCCCCCTCCCCCCAATTCTACCCCGCGATAAGTCACACACCCCCGGATTCAGTGGATTACAGTGGGGCTCGGGAGACCCGCTAGGTACTGCTAAGGACGTCGTAAGTAGTGGCAGTGTTGATCACCCCCTCCCATCTTTAACTTGGCCGCACCACCAAGCTAGTTCGTTCTCTCTCCTCTTTCCTCTTACTATTTTTCCCTTCCTCTTTTTCCCTTCTACATCATCTTTTTGCTTCTCCCACATCTTCTCTACTATATCCCCCGGATTCCTCTGAAAGAAACACCACCCACTGCCTTGTTAGTGCGTCCTGTCCCCATCTCTGCTGCCTCTAGCCTTCCGCCATATCTATGTGCTAATAAGATTCCCTCCTAGGCTTACCATATCATTTTTACCTATCCTTTGGGAACTTTGGAACCATGTTGACCCGAAGCGCCTCAAGGGCCAGGGCCAGCTCGAGGTCTCTGCACCCGGGTGAGGCCGCCATGGCCGTTGCTGCCGTTCGTCAGCCTCGCCGTGGCATGAGCTTCGACACATGCAACTCCCAGGATGCAGACACTGCCAGTGACGCCAACCGTGCCCAGCGCAGTGCTCACTACCGCTGTCTGGAGACGTTGAGCCACCAAAGGGCCTGGAGCTCTAACCCCGATGCTGAACGTGCTAGGGAGAGCATGGAGAAGGCCATGGCCAGCTCCATGAACACCCCCCGTACCCCTCGCAGGCGCAACACATACGTCGACGTTGATCACATCAGGTCGCTGTCCGACGCTGACCCTGCCGTCAACCCCAGTTTTCAGAACAAGTACCAGCAGGAGCTGTGGACCGGCCCTAAGACTTCCTCCAAGGAGGTTACCGCTGAGGACGTACTTCATGCCACCACTTCCGGCTACATCGAGGAATCGTACATTGACCCCATCACCAACCGCCGGGTCCCCAAGAAGACCCCCAAGCGTGCCAACACCCTACCTATTCAGGCCGTTGGCGGTGAGGACGTTCTCAGCTCGTGGTTCACTCCCGGTCTTCGACATGCCGCCGAGGAGCAGTCCAAGAAGTACAACGACCTCGACAAGTACGGCCCCGTCTACTGGAACGAGCCCGATGGCCTTCCCAACCTGACAGCTGAGGAGAAATCGAAGCACTACGCCGACCTCGACCAGTACTCGCAGAGGATGCCCATGCGTCGTGAGTTTGACGATGCTCCGCTGCAGCCTGGGGAGCTCGACGATAACAACGTCGTCGCCCACTACGCCGAGACTGGCGCCTCCGCCTCTGGCAGGAAGCCTATGATGCGTGACTTTGATGAGCCTACTGAGCAGGCCAACCTCAACCAGTACGCTGCCCCCATTGGAAGCCGTACCGGAGCCACCGGCTCTGGGTCTTCATTCTCTTTTGGCAACCTGAACGGCCAATCTGGTTCAAGCTCCAACGGCACCACTGTTCGACGTGCCTCAATCACGAGGGAGCACGACGGTCTTCCCGAGCATGTTCCCTCTAGTTCCATGAGGCACCTCAACACAGATTCTTTGAACAAGGCGTATGAACAGTACCACGAATTTGAACCTGTCAGCGGCAGCACGTCCCGCCAGTCGAAGAAGTACGACGGATTCGGTACCAACACAGCTCGTCTCTACAAAGAGGCTTCTGGGCTTGCCGGATCCCTGGCTGAGGCTGATGTTCAGGAATCTGCCTTTGGTGACTTGACGGCCGAGGGTATTCGCTCCAACGTCCTCAGGCGTGTTCACGAGCGCAGCCAGCAACGTGAGCTCGAAGAGGCCAAGGCTCGGCACCAGTCAGAGTGGGAGCCCGAGGTCCAGCAGGTTATGGGTGAAATCGATGGTGAGGCCGGCGAATTTCATGCCGGCGACTTCCACAGGCTCGACAGCGACCATGTGATTCTGTCGCAGGTCCTCAAGGAGTCTCGCGACATTCGCGGTCTCGGAGCGTCCGAAGACCGCTACCGGTCTGAGTGGGATCCCGCCCTGTCTTCGGCCACCGAAAACCTTACCAGTGACAAGATCACGTTCCCCAGGGACCAGGCCAAGGACATGCATAGCTCCGATATCCCCCTGAACGCCCGCGTCCAGGCCGAGAACAACAAGCTTTCGGGAATGAACAAGGGCTACCACTCTGAGTGGCAGCCTGAGATCAACACGGCCCTCGAGAAGATCAAGCTTCAGCCCCGTCCCGACGGCGACCGCGATGCCTTCACGCGCTTCACCCTCGAGAACATCCAGAAGGACAAGACGACGCCCCTGAATAAGATTGCTGACCCCGTCAACAAGGTACCCCTTGCTGCCAAGGTTGCCGGTCAGGAGCAAAAGTACCATGAGGCCGGTGACAAGTACCGTTCACAGTGGGACCCCGTGACGAGCAAGGCCACGGAGGAGCTAGCCGAGCAATACAGCAAACACAGTAAGTCTCCTGTTCGGAGGCTCGATGATATCCGAATGACAGCCGACCAACAATCTCAGGACAATAAAAATATTCACGGGCTCGACGCCGCCGAAAAGCACCACCGTTCCCAGTGGAAGCCGGTGATGAAGGAAGCCCACGACCAACTCGAAGAAAATAAGGACCCTACCCTCCAGACACTCACCGGCAGCTATGTGCGGGATTTCCCCGAGGAATTTTCGACTTCGTGGAGCGCCGACAAGGATGCTGTCCTCCGGCCCACCACCAAGGCTACTAATGACACCATTCAAGAGCCCGACCTCAGCTCAATGGACGAGAGTTTTCCCTACCACACATCTACCAGCAGGCTGGAGCCTTCTCTTAGCCGCATTCCCAAGGCCGGGAATGGCCAGACGGATGCAAAGACACCGCCCCCTCCGCAACAGGATAGCCAGCAGACTCGCCAACGGACCGGTCAGCCCCAGCTCCGCACTTATAAGGTCCTCGCCTACCACGCCCCAACGGACTCGGTACAGATGGCCGAGGCGCTTTCTACGGCGGAAGAGGAACCCTCGAAGTCGCCAGCAGACATCATCAGTCAGTTGGCGCACCCGGCCAAGTTCTTTCCATATTTCTCAACTCTCCGAGCTGAGGGCTACGAGATGGTATCTGGCAACAACCAGATGCTTGTATTTCGTCAGACAACACCGCAAGTGATTGAGCCGTCGCCGAAGATGAAGAAGAGAAGCCTGGGCGGCAAGGTGGTTAGAGGCACAGTGTATGTAGCGGGATCCGCCTATGCTGTGGGGGTTATTGCTGAATATTTTTCAACAGGAGGACAATCTACTAGGCCGTCGCCCTTTCAATAGGATGGTCACTTTTCATCATTTTTGTTTCCTACTATCTTCCCCGGGGTCCCCCTGGATTGGTGGCATTTCACAGGGTCGGTTGTCGAGCCTCCCGGATACTTTTTCCCTGTCTATCGTTTATCGTTTATTTTACACCTTGACAGGATATTGGCACATTGTGTTTCATCATCTTTTTTTCTTATTGCTTTTATAATACCGGACAGACAGGAACGGCATCGGTAAACATGGGTATTACTGAAGGACAAACAACACAATTACAGGGCGTTTGTGAGCACGAATCTGCTTTTCCTTTTTTTTTTTCTTTCTTTTTTTCTCTTTTTTTCTCTGCAATCAGCCAAGACAGATAGTGCTATACAGACTTATTCAAACATGTCTCGCTGTCTCTTGATGCGTCTTCTCATAATGCGTGTCTTGATGGAATTCCAAATACATTTATACAATTTCCCAGTATCGCAGATGATTTTCCGTGCCCCACGATGATGTTACATGACTTGTGTTGTTGTACAATTTGCCCATTGATATCCCATTATTCCCAATAATCCGAAGAAACGGTACTCGGGTTCGTTCTCGTGTGTTCTCAAGGTCCCAAGATTTGTTTTGGGTGCTTGTTTCGGACGTATCAGACTGTTGGGGAGGTGTCGTTTTCTTCCGTTTATCTCTGACATTCAGAGAATCCAGTACTGGTAGGTGAGAAGCCCGACTTGGCGCAGACAACACCCGGAGCACCGACGCCAGCGGCAGCAGCAGAGGCAGAAGAGGTATCCATCATCTGCAAGGCGTGCTTCTGATCCTCCTTATTCCAGCTCTGGCGTCTGTCAAAGCATGGCTTCCAGGAGGAGGTGTGCTCGAGCGCGTGTCTGGCGGCGGCAGACTCGTGGGGCTCTGCTGCTGCTGCTGCTGACGTCCCTTGACGATGGTGATGGTGATGGTGAAGAAGGTGATGGTGTTCGTGTTCAGTGTTGTTGTGAGATGTGGACATGTTTACGATGACCTGTTATGATGATTCAAATGTATGAAGGATGTGTGTGTGTGGGGGAGGGGAAGGGGATATGAGATGGCCTTGTGTGGAGTGCGGGGGGGGGGGAATCCAGTAATATATATATATCATAGATCATACACGAACATGGGCTGATGGTGCGTCATCGGAGGGGGAAGGGAGGCGAGACGGGGAAGAAAATGAAGAATTATCGGTTCATGTACTGATACATATCAATCCATCCTAAATTATCCGACACTGTATAACAATGGTTTTCTTTTGTAATTTTTTTTTGGACCGAATTGTATCCGGAAACTGCTGGAATCATCTTCTAAAAGCCAAACGAGGGGGAAAAAATGACATTGGAACAACCCTTCCGAAAACTCCTTTCCTTTTTTTCACCACTTGATATGCAATCCATCACCGACAACGCCCCGTGCAGAGTATAGATAACCCTCGATAACAAGGGATATATAAGGGAGAAAGAAAAGGCTCCGTAAAAGCAAGAACCACCGGGAAAGAAATAAAATGGGTATAACGCCCGTCAAAACCAAGAGGGGGGAGAAAAAGGCAAAATGATGCAGCAAGTGTGGCTATGTACATGTGTGCGCGTGCGGGTGAACCGGATGTGGGGAAGGGATGATGGATATCTAAGGCGTACGCGGACGCTTCCAGTAGTATTGCTAAGATGTGTTAGTCAAAAGCACACCACTGCACAGCAGGGAGGGGGAGTCCCAAGTACCTTGTGCTGCTTCCTGCAGTTACGAAGAGTAGGCTTCCGTAGACCGTCCACCACGGCAGCCCTGCGCGACTCATCCGTGTCACGCTCGGGCACGTAGTAGTATTCGCTCTCGAGGGCCTCTCCGGCGGCGTCTTTACCCTGACGCTCGATGATGCCGATGCAGGCCGTCGACTCGATGGCGGCCAGGAGGGAGGGACGGGTGAGTCCCACCTTGGCATCGGCGGGGAGGTGCTGCATGATGGTCGAGAGCGGGGTGGACGACAGACGGGAGAAGGCGAGCTGGTTGATGGCGTGGTTGACGATCGAGGCGTCGACGGGGGGTGCCGCGGGCTTCTCATCCTGCTCCTCCTCCTCCTCCTGCTTGACCGTCTTCCTGCTCTCCTTCTGCCCCTCCTTCTCGGACCCAGCCTTCTTCTGCTGCTTCCTCCTGACGGGCGAGGGCGAGGGAGGCGAGGGAGTCTCGTCCCTCAGCGGGGTGAGGGACGTTTCCGAGTCACGGCGGGTCCGCTGAGCAGCACGAGAGGCCGGAGAGCCCTTGGCCTCGGGGGATCCGGACATGATGGAGGCGAGGCGGCCGGAAATGTCGGCGCCAAAGGGGCCGAACGAGTGGACGATGGGGTCGTTCTCCTCGTCGGGGTCCTCGTGGCCCCCGTCGTCCGAGGCAGGGTCGCTGAGCTCGCTGGAGAAGCTGGCGGTGATGTCGGTGCACATGCTGGTGTTGACATCCATGCGGTCCCCGTCCTCGTCACCCTCCTGCTCGGCGTCCTGCACCTGCTCCTCTTCATCCTCGTAGATCTGGATGTTGTCGTCGCGCGAGCCTCTCCTGCTCCCGCCAGCGATGCTGCTGGAGGGGAAGAGGGCCTGGAGGCGCTGGGACGACGTGGCGGCCAGATGGGCGGACGTGGGGCTCTCGGGGGAGTGGATGCGCAGTGTCCGGCGGAGAGGCGGCGAGGACTGGGGGAGGATGTTGGTGTCGTCCCATGCCGAGTCGTCCGAGAGGGAGTCGAGAGCGGCGGCCGAGGCAGCGGCGGCCGAAGCGCCGCGACGGCTGGGCCACTGGATCAGCACACGCGAGTCCTGGACCTCGAGCATGATGCCGGTCCCCTCCGTCTCGCTGGTGAAGGTGTCGCCCTTGAGGAGCTCCCACGTGCGGCCCTGGCAGTGGACCTTGAGGCCGTTCCAGCCGTTGCACACAATCTCCACCTTGCCACCGCTGGCCGCGGCAGAGTCCGGTCTGTTAGGGCTGGCGATGTACCGGGCCTTGACGTGGACACGGGACACGAGACGGTTGGCCGAGAGCTGGAAGTGGGACGAGTTGGACGAGCGTCCCATCATGAGCACCTCGCCATTCTCGGGGAGGTCGACCGTGGGGAGGGCCGAAAGGGGCTCGCGCTCCACCGTACGGGACGACGTGCGCACAAAGGGAGAGCGGGAGCTGCTGCGGTGGTGCTTGGGCTGCTGGGGACGACGCTGCTGGCGAGGGGGCGAGCTGGACATGATGGCCGTGCTCGACGTGGGCAGCGGAGTGGGATACTTGGCACGGACATTGCCGCCGGTGTTCTGACGCTTCAGGGGCCGAGGGAGACCGGGAGAGGACGAGAGGGGCTCAAAGGCCGGGAGGAGGGAAGGGGCCGAACGCTTGCTAGTTCCCTTTGCAGCTGCTGCCGGTGGTGATGATGGGATGTTGTTGAGTTCGGGGAGCGTAGGCTCTGCAGACGCGTCGAGCGAGGGGTCGGCCATTTTGACACTTGGTTTTTTTTTGGTGGTTTCCTTTCTCTCCCAGAGAGGAGGCAGAATGATGTTTTATATAGCGGTCTGGTTATTGTGATATTCCAGGGTCAATCGATGTGTCTTTCGGCTCGCGTTGGGAGAGGAGATATATATATATATATATATATATATATATATATATATATATCGTGATCGAGAGAGAGGAAAGGTGTAGAGCGGCAAGAAAGCAAGGAATAGCTTTATGGAATATAGAACCTCTCTAGTACAAGCGGTAGTGAACGATCCTAATGAAGGAAAAAGAAAGTATGAAGCCCTGATAGAAAGGGAAAATGGTCGGATTCGAAGAGGCCAATGTATGCAAGTTCAAGTCAGGGAAGAAAAGATGGCCACGGCCAAGGGCGGGAGGTATTTTAAAGAGAGAAGCAGAAATGGATCCCCCCCCCCCCCCCCGGGCATACAGCTGACACGAGGAAACGCGATGCGCGTCTTTGGCGTTGGTGGCGCGTCCCAATGCCCTGAAGAGAAAGTTCCCACAGCGCACCCAGCAGGCGCTTATAGGGGGGGAGCTGAGTCCCGAAACCCTCCAAGTGCCCTGTAAGTCTGACGCTACGGGGCTCCCCCTAGCTTCTAATGGATCTTGGATCTTGAGCAACGAACGCGTCTCTGTAGCGCAAAATTCTGCGTGCGATGCGCTGTAACTCGCTGTAATGCCCCTCCGGGACCCCCTGTAATACCCTGTCAGCTTGACGGCGCCTCCCCATGCCTGCGCGACATCGGGGTGGTTGGACACACACACGCGTTGGACCTAGCCCTAGAATTTCGTCGAATATGGATGGTCCTGGTCTGGACTTGTGGATTGTTGTGGAATTGGGTCGATAATTATCCGTCCGGGATCTTGTCGTCTTTCTCTAGGTCAACCTGGTCTCTACCATATTACAAGTACACGACCGGACTCATGGTGATGAAGGCAGTCTTGTGTCTCTGATATGGCATAGACAGCAATGGTCAGCAAGGGCGTATTCAACCACTTCTCGTTCTGCTCTTCTATTTTCTTGCAGGGCAAAAAGAGGATAGGACCCAGCTTCGCATGTCTGACCGTGTTTTTTTTTTTTTTTTTTTCCACTGTTTCTCTGTATGTTGTTGGGCTCAGTATGTGTTCCCGTATTCTACCAGTCACAAAGTGTTCGTGTAAGTCATCCTACATGAGGGGACGTATTCACAAGAAGAGCCACCACGTCACATTGAGAGCTCTAAATATGAATTTATCTACACAGATACAGACCCCAAGACCTTTGTTATCTACCCAATGCCACTTTTAAAACATAAATCGACTTCCTGTAGTGTTGCTTCTGGATCAAGGATTTCGCCTTAGGGTAGACGTGAAGTGGCCTCGGTCCTTGGTTCGCGTGGCACCGTCCCATATGCGCCACAGCAATAGTTACCGAAGCAACCGTTACCTGGGGAGTAGAAGAGCATACATACAGAGAGAAAAGAGAGAAGAAAGAACCCCCCCCCCCCC